CGGAGGTTGCGGTGAGCCGAGATCACGCCATTGCCCCCCAGCCTGGGAAAAAAGGGCAAAACCCCATCTAAAAAAAAAAAAAAAAAGATTTTGTACCTTTTGACCTGACTTTCATCTCCCCATTTCCACTCCCCCTCAGCCTCTGTAACTACCAGTTTACTCTGTTTTTACGAGTTTGATTCTTTTAGATTCCACATGTAAGTGAGAACATACGGCATTTGTCTTTCTGTGCCTGGCTTATTTCACTTACCATAATGTTTTCCAGTTCCATCCATGTTGTCAGAAATGACAGAATTTCCTTCTTCTTAAAGGCTGAATAGTATTCCATTGTGTATATATACCACGTTTTCTTTTTCATTCATCTGTTGATGGACACGTTAGTTGATTATATAGCTTGGCTGTTGCAAACAGTGCTGCAGAGAACATGGGAGTTCAGACATCTCTTCGACAAACTGATTTCAAATCTTTTGGGTAAATACCCAGAAGTCTGATTGCTGGATTCCACACTGTTTTAATTACTGTAGCTTTGCAAATATATTTTGAAATCAGGAAGTGTGAGTCCTCCAATTTTGTTCTTTTTCAAGATTGTGGATATTCTGGGTCCCTTGTATTTCCATATGAATTTTAGAATCAACTTGTCCATTTATGCAAAAAAGCACTTTACATTCTGATAGGGAATGCATTGAATCTGTATATCAATTTGGGGAATGTCATCATCTTAACAATATGAACACAAATTACTTCATTTATTTAGATGTTTTAAATTTCTTTCTTTCTTTTTTTTTTTTGAGTCGGAGTTTTTCGCTCTTGTTACCCAGGCTAGAGTGCAATGGCGCAAACTCGGCTCACCGCAACCTCCGCCTCCTGGGTTCAGGCAATTCTCCTGCCTCTGCCTCCTGAGTAGCTGGGATTACCGGCACGTGCCACCATGCCCAGCTAATTTTTTGTATTTTTAGTAAAGACGGGGTTTCACCATGTTGACCAGGATGGTCTCGATCTCTTGACCTCGTGATCCACCCGCCTCGGCCTCCCAAAGTGCTGGGATTACAGGCGTGAGCCACCGCGCCCGGCCCCCGATGTTTTAAATTTCTAATAGCAATATTTTATGGTTTTGAATATACAAATCTTGAATTTCTTTTTGTTAAATTGATTTATTTCTAAATATCCTTTTTGATGCATGGTCAGTGGGATTACTTCCTTAATTTAATTTTCAGGTTGCTAATTACTAATACATAAAAATAGAATTGATTATTGATTTTCAGGTTGCTAATTACTAATACATAAAAATAGAATTGATTATTGTGTTTTTGTTCTTAGTTTTTTTGTTTTTTTTTTTTTTTTTTTTGAGACAGAGTTTTGCTCTTGTCACCCAGGCTAGAGTACAATGGCGCAGTCTTGGCTTACTGCAACCTCCGCCACCTGGGTTCAAGCAATTCTCCTGTCTCAGCCTCCTGAGTAGCTGGGATTACAGGTACCCGCCACCACGCTCAGCTGATTTTTGTATTTTTTAGTAGAAATGGGATTTTATCGTGTTGGCCAGGCTGGTCCTGAACTCCTGACCTCAAGTAATTCACCTGCCTCAGCCTCCCAAAGTGCCAGGATTATAGGCGTGAGCCAGTGTGTCCGGCCTTGTTTTTTGTTTTTGAGGCAGACTCTTGCCCAGGCTATGTAGTAACACGATCATGGCTCACTGCAGCCTAGAACTTCTGGGCTCAAGCAATCCTCTGAGTACCTGGGACTTAGCCTCCCGAGTACCAGAGACTTACAGGCTTGCACCATCACACACAGCTAATTTTTTAATTTTTTTGTAGAGACAGGGGTCTTGCTTTTTTATCTGGACTGGTCTCAAACTCCTGACCTCAAGTGATTCTTCCTCTTCGGTCTCCCAAAGTGCCGAGGTTACAGGCTTGAGCCACTGTACCTGGCTGATTTTTTATTTTGATCTTATGTCTTGAAACCCCTCTACTAGATCTGATGGTTTTGGGGTGTGTGTGTGTGTGTGTGTGTGTGTGTGTGTGTGTGTGTGTGTGTGGATTCTGTGGGATTTTTTGTATATGAGATAATGTTATTTGGAAACAGAGATAGTTTTCTTCTTTTGTATTCGGAATGTTTTTATTCTTTTTCTTTGCTAATTGCCCTGGCTAGAACCTCTAGTGAAATGTTGAGTAGAAGTAGAGAGAGCAGAGGTCCTCATCTTGTTCCTAACCTTAGAAGGAAAGCTTTTAGTCTTTTACCACTAAGTATACTGTTAGCTGCGAGTATTTTATAGAGACCCTTTATCAGATTGAGAACTTTCCTTTTGTATATCGTTTGTTGAGTGTTTTTATCATGAATTTTATCGTGAGTTGGATTTTGTTTAATGCTTTTTCTCCATCAGTTGAAATAATTGTGCGGCTTCTGTCCTTTATTCCTTTAATGCGATGTATAGAACTGTTTGATTTTCATATTTGAACAAGCCTGCATCCCTGAGATTAAAGTAAACCCCACTTATTCGTGGTATGTAATCCTTTATATACCACTGGATTCAGTTTGCTAGTGTTCTGTAGACGATTGTTTGCAACTCTTTTTCGTAAGAGGGATGGGTCTGTAGTTTTCTTTTCCTGTGATGTCTTTGGTTTCAGTATTAGGTAATATTGGCTTCACAGAATTAGGTAGTGTTTTCTTCTAATTTTAGGAAGAGTTTATAAAGTATCACTTCGCAATACACTTTTTTTTTAGTAGGAATTTCGCTCTTGTTGCCCAGGCTGTAGTGCAATGGCACAATCTCGGTTCACTGCAACCTCTGCCTCCTGGGTTTGAGCAACTCTCTCTCCCAAGTAGCTGGGATTACAGGCACACACCACCACACCTGGCTAATTTTGTATTTTCAGTAGAGACAGGGTTTTACCATGTTAGGCTGGTCTCTAACTCCTGACCTCCAGTGATCCACCTGCCTCAGCCTCCCAAAGTATTGAGATTACAGGCGTGAGCCACTATAGCCAGCCCACAATACACTTTTTTTTTCTGTTGCCCAGGCTGGAGTGCAGTGGCACGATCTCTGCTCACTGCAACCTCTGGCTCCCTAGTTCAAGTGATCTTCCTGCATCAGCTACATGAGTAGCTGGGATTACAGGTGCACCACTGTGCCCGGCTTTTTTTTTTTTCTTTTTTTTTTTGGTATGCGGAAATGGGGTTTTACCATTTTGGCCGGCTGGTCTCAAACTCCTGACCTCAAGTGATCCGCCCACCTTGGCCTCCCAAAGTGCTGGGATTACAGGTATGAGCCACCACAACCAGCCACAATATGCTTTCTATCAAGAAAAAAATATATCTGCCTGCTTCAAATACCCAGATGGTCACTCAGCACCTTGAACCTTGCCTTTCGTATAGGTATTGACTAAATTTCAGACCCTATGGTCCAGACAGGCTTTTCCCAGCTCCATCCCACTGGGGCTGAGAAATTATCAGAACCCCTTCATAAGTACTAATTCCAGTAGTTTTCAGTGTAATGTTGGTTTTGTTTGTCATCCCCTGCTGTGTTGTGAGAGCCTTTCTCGGGAAATCATCATCTTAAAGGAGTGTTTTACGGGTGACTTTAGAGACAGGGATAACATTCAAAGATCGTCTATAAAATGTTACTTTGGTAGGTTTTTACTTTATTAAAGTGTGCAGAGCAGAACTGCAAATTCCTTTGGTTTCTTCTTGCATTTCCAACATTAGAAACAGCTGTTTTAAGGTTGTATTTTCCCGGGGGCATCCTGTAGCAACATCTCATTGATTCCTTTGTCATCCTTCTGGGTCCATACCTCAGAACCACACAAGTTTATCATCCCAGGCCACAGTGAAAGCAAGAGGTATGGTCTACAGGCCACCACTGGGCATTATTCTGAACCCCCTTGTGATCCAGCCCACTTCTCGCCCACAGGTAACACGTACACAGACCTCTCGGCCAGAATCTCCAGGGATGACCAGCCCCTCCCCACGCATCCAGATAATCTCCACCGACTCTGCTGTAGCCTCACCTCAGCGCATTCAGGTACCTGCACCAGTCCTACTTGGTTCCAGCTACCTGCCTTTCCTGAACCCTTTCCAAAAACAAACCTGCCTAAGGGTTTCACTAAGGAGTTGTGCCTCTTCAACATCAAATATAGTACAACCTCATTGATTCTTTAAAAAAATTAAAGAAACGCTTACGTTTATTTAACTTACATTTAAAGCAAAAGCCTGAACTGTTGTTTCAGACTATTGGGATGAAGTACCATTTTATTACTTACTTGCTTCCAAATTGAGAGGCAGTATATCTTAATATGTAATTAACAGGAAGGGCCGCCACTTGAAGTCAAATCCAGTGCCCCACTTAGCTTTTTTGACCTTGGCCAATTAACTTTTTAATGCCTCACTTTCTTCATTTGGAAAATATACATAATAGTAGTACCTGCCTGACAGAGTTATTATGAAGGATCAAAGGGATATTGCTTATAAAGTGCTTAGAACGGCCTGGCACATAATAATGTTCAGTGTGTACTAATGATATAATAAATATTATTAATATTATTGTCATTATTAACTAATCAATATTCACTTATGGGAAGTTGTCTTCCCCAGGGCTCTGAACCTGCCTCTGGCCCATTGAGTGTTTTCACCTCTTTGAACAAAGAGAAGGTAGGTTTATCAAGCTTGTAGACAAAAAGCTGGGAGGAAGGGATAAGATATTGATGACAAAGATTTATTGTTATCTCAACAAGCTGAACCAAAAAGCCAATTATAACTGTTGATTTCTCTGTTTTTCTCCTTGCAGTTCTATCAGTTTTTGCCTCGTTATATCTTTTTGGAGAACTGACCCCTTGCTATTTATTTATTTAACAGGATTTCACTATGTTGCCCAGGCTGGTCTTGAACTTCTAGTCTCAAGCAACCCTCCTGCCTCCACTTCCCAAAGTGCTGGGATTACAAGCATGAGCCACCATGCCCAGCCGTCCCTTTCTTATTATAAGTTTATTTTCCTTGTTCTGAAGTCTGCTTTGTCTGAAATTGCTATTGTTCCTCCAGCTTTCTTTTTATTAGTGTTAGTTGCTAGCACAGTATAACTTTCTCTATGCTTTGACTTTTTTCTTTTTCTTTTTTTTTTTTTTTTTTTTTGAGATAGGGTCTCACTCTGTTACCCAGACTGGAGTACAGTGGCATAAACACAGCTCACGGTAGCCTCTACCTCACAGGCTCAAGCCATCCTCCCATCTCCACTTCCCGAGTAGCTGGGACTACAGGCACATACCACCATGCCTGGACACACACACACACACACACACACACTTTTTTTTTTTTTTTTTTTTTTTTTCTGTATAAGTGGGGTTTCACCATGTTGCCAAGGCTGGTCTCAAACTCCTGAGCTCAAGCAATCCACCTGCCTCAGCCTCCCAAAGTGCTGGGACTACAGGTGTGAGCCACTGTGCCTGGTTGAATTTTTTTTTTTTTTTTTTTTTTTTTTTTAGAGAGCCTTGCTCTGTTGCCCAGGCTGAAGGGCACTTAATTCACAGACAGGATCATAGGGCATTACAACCTCAAACTCCTGAGCCCAAGCTATCATCCTGCCTCAGCCTCTCAAGTAGTGGGGACCACAGATGTGCACCATTGTCAGCTACTGCATCCCTTTATTTTGCATCTGTCTGTGTCTTTATACATAAAATGGGTCTCCTGTAGGCAGTATGTATTGGGGGAGCTTGATTTTTTTTTTCCCATTTTTTTTTTTCCTATTTCCTATATAATTTCACAAGGGTCTTGTGTTTTTACCCAGCTGACAATCTGTCTTTTCATTGGTGCATGTGGATCATTCACATTTAGAGTGATTATTGATATATTTGGATTAATATCCTCCATCTAGGCCAGGCACAGTGACTCATAACTGTAATCTCATCACTTTGGAAGGCTGAAGAAGGCTGATCACTTGAGCCCAGGAGTTTGAGACCAGCCTGGGAAACAGTGAGATTCGGAAGGCTGAAGAAGGCTGATCACTTGAGCCCAGGAGTTTGAGACCAGCCTGGGAAACAGTGAGATTCTGTCTCTACAAAAAAAAACACTAAAAATTAGCCAGACATGGTGATGCATTCCTGTAGTCCCTATTTGGGAGGCTTTGGTGGGAGGATTGCTTGAGTCCAGGAGGTTGAGGCTGCAGTGAGCTATGATCATGCTGCTGCACTCCATCCTGGGCCACAGAGCGAGACCCTGTTTCAAAAAAATAAATAAAATAATAATTCAAAGCCATTCATACCAGCTAAAATTTATACTTAAACAAAAGATTTGTTTATCTTTTTGCAAAGGTCAGGACTTGTTTACCTTTTTACAAACCTTTTTTAAAGAAGGTTTCTTTTACCCTTTTTATTTTTAGTCAGTCTCTTTGCTATTATCTTTTGGTATGCTCTTATATACTCTGACCTATCTTATAAACTTAATATATAGTCTATGTGTAAATTCTATATATACTATAGGAAATTGTGTTTATGTATATGAGTGGGTAGGTGGGTGAGTGTGTATATATAAATAGTATAGGAAATCCGAAGAGCTGGTTTTGGGTGGGCAGACAAAACCTAGAAGGGATTCTCATTGTACTCAGAAAGAAATCCCAACATGGAGCAGGGTCATCCTACCTCCCTCTTAAGGCTCTTGGGCCATGCTGGTTGTCCATGGGCCTGATAGCAGTTCCCAAGAGTTTGTTCCCCCTAGGGCTTTCCATATGCCAGAAAATTTCTCTTTGCTGAGAAAACTAAAATTTATTTGGCTGCTGTCTTCTCAGCCTTGAGTCTGCTCTTTTTTGTTTTTTTTTTTTGAGTTGGAGTTTCACTCTTGTCGCCTAGGCTGGAGTATGGTGGCACAGTGTCAGCTCACTGCAACTTTCTGCCTCCCAAGTTCAAGTGATTCATCTGCCTCAGCCTCCCAAGTAGCTGGGATTACAGACATGCGCCACCATACCTGGCTAATTTTGTATTGTATTTTTTTTTTGGTAGAGACAGGGTTTCATCATGTTGGACAGGCTGGTCTCAAACTCCTGACCTCAGGTGATCCGCCCTCCTCAGCCTCCCAAAGTGCTGGGATTACAGGCGTAAGCCACCATGCCACCCAGCCCAAATCTTGTCTTAAACGTCACCTTGTCACAGAGACTTTCCCTGACCTCTCTTTCTAAAGTTAAGTACTTTTGTTGTTCAGGGTTACCCCAACCTGATCTTTTCCCTCATAACTTGTACCATAGATTGAAATTGTTTACTGACTGGTTTGTTTCCTTGTTTATTGCCAGTCTCTTCCACTGAACTAAAAGCTTCATGAGGGCAGGAGCCATCTTCATATGCCATTGTCTAGCACACTGCCTGACAAAGTAGACCCTCAGTAAATATTTGAGGAATGAATGAAAGAGTGAGTAAGCCATGGTAAAATGTCTTGACTTTTTCAACGGGAGCAATTTGATAAGATGAAAAGGTTAAGACAAGGCTGAATGAGGAAAGGAATATGTCAGAGTTTAGAGGGAAGAAATACTTTACCAAGGTCCTGTCATGTTCTGGGCAGTGTACCAAGCAGTTTCACACTCGTATCATTTCACTTTCCAAATCATCTTTTTCATAGATATATAAATGGAGATCAAGGGCTTATGTAACTGCTTCAAGTTGACACAGCTGGGAAGTAGTAAAGCAAGCATTCTGTTCATGTCTGTAGCCACCAAGCCCTGTCTCAGGTGTTTACAGTGAAAGAGGTGGCAAGATGAAGATAGGGGTGGACCTTAGCTTAGTAAAGTCAGTTCTGCCATAATGTGACATGTGTGTTCCTGAAAATTCCCACTCTTTGCCAAGACTGGAGAGACTGCCTCATCTAAAGGGGTAGCCAACCCACACCCAGCTCCAGCCACCTGGCACCATGGGGAGAACTTGAGCCCAGGATGACGTGAGCTTCCAGTTTGTCAAGAGAACTATAAATCTGATTGTTATGGGAAATACTCAGTTTTTGGATGTTAGCAACTAGTTTTTTAAAAAAAATTTAGGAGGCTGAGCACAGTGGCTCACACCTGTAATCCCAGCACTTTGGAGGCAGAGGTAGGTGAATCACTTGAGCTCAGGAGTTCAAGATCAGCCTGGGCAACATAGTGAGATGTCATCTCTACAAAAAAGGCAAACATTAGTTGGGTATGGTGACACGAGCTTGTAGTCAAAGTTACTTGTGAGATTGAAGTGAGGATCACTTGAGGCTGGGAGGTGGAGGTTGTAAAGAGATAACATCGTGCTACTGCACTCCAGCCTGGGTGACAGAGCAAAGACCTGATCTCAAGGAAAAAAAAATTTTTTTTGGATAGTCAAGTTATCCAGTGGCTGGTTTTCGCCTTCAGGCCATTTGTTGGCAGGCTCTTCTTTACAACAGAGATGTTAAGCTGGCTGGAACAGAGTGGGTAACATGGGGGAGAATGGTGGTGTGTCAGATCATTCCATAGTCCTTTGGGATTAGAACTAGAGAGGACCTTAGCTTAGTAAAGTTAATACTGCTATAATGTGACGTGTGTTCCTGAAAATTCCCATACTTTGCCAGGATTGTGTAGTGAAAACCACAGGACTTTTGGGGAAAAATGAGATTAGTGGCACAATACTCAAAAACTTTGCCAGTAACACATTAAAAAACAGATAGTGAATCTAATAAAACCTGCAAGTGGTTAAATACATAGTGACTAATAAATACGGCACTTTACCTTGAAAAAACCCTCCAGTTTCTTTGTGGAGGTAGGTATAGGGAGGATTGCATCTCATGAGTTACTGTGAATTGTGGACACAGGGTGACCTGAAATCACCAGATGGATTAAATGTGATTCATACTATGTGTACTGAGTATTCCTGCATGGATCACTTCAGCTAAATATTGTTTTCTGTTTACCTAGTGTTACTCATGGAAGAAACCACGCATAAACACAAAATCTGCATTATATGCAAATTATTCACTAACGTATCAATCTTGCTCAATAAATTCACCTTTTCACAACAAGCATAGCAGCTCTGACTGTATAGGTAGGCTATTGGGGGCCTTAAAAATCACAGAAAACACGACATTACTCCCTTTCCCCCAAGTAGTTATAGTTTACACTCAGGAAGTTAAGAACTTTTTTTTTTTAAAGACAGAGTATTGCTCTCTTGCCAGGCTGGAGTGTGTAGTGGCACAATCTTGGCTCACTGCAACCTCTGCCTCATGGGTTCAAGCAATTCTCCTGCCTCAGCCTCCCAGTAGCTGGGACTACAGGCATGTGCCACCATGCCCAGCTAATTTTTGTATTTTTAGTAGAGACAAGGGTTTCACCATGTTGGCCGGGATGGTCTCAATCTCTTGACCTTGTGATCCGCCCACCTCAGCCTCCCAAAGTACTGGGGTTACAGGCCTGAGCCACAGTGCTCGGCCTGGAAGTTAAGAACTTTTGTTGCAAGTAAAGAAATTAAATACAATTTGCTTCTTGTATTCGTTTCCCAGGCGGTCACAATAAATTACCACAAACTTGGTGGCTTAACACAATAGAAACTCATTTTTCCCAACCTTCTGGTGGCCAGAAGTCTGAAATCAAGGTATTGGCAGGGCCATGCTCTCTCAAGATTCTAGGAGAGTGTCCTTCCTTGCCTCTTCCTAGCTTCTGGTGGATCCCAGCAGTCCTTGGTATTCCTTGCTTGCTTGTAGCTGCATCACTCCAATCTCTGCCTCCATGGCCACATGGACTTGTTATAAGTCCATGTGGCCATGGAGGCAGAGATTGGAGTGATGACCAGTCACTGAATTAGGACCCACCCTAATGTAGTATGACCTCATCTTATCCTGATTACATTTGCAAAGGCCGTCCTTCCAAGTAAGATCATATTAATAGATACTGGGAATTCTGGCTGCAATATATCTTTTCATGGGGTACAGTTCTATACACAGTACCTCTCCTCCACAGCTGACTTAAATTTTAATGAGCTTGGATATATCCTTGCAGTGTTTCCTCTAGGTCATTAAATAGGAATCTATCTGTTAGTGTTTGTTAACAAGGTCTCGTCTGATGGTCACCTTTGTGTTCCAGTAGGGTATTCGGGATATTATTTTTTCTGCCTGCATTTTAAGATTTTTCATGGAAATGATCTCTCTAAATGAAGGATACAAATGTCTTAGGAGGGTGAAGATTAAGAAACACAAAAATTGGCCAGGTGCGGTGGCTCACACCTGTAATGCCAGTACTTTGGGAAGCTGAGGTGGGCGGATCACGAGGTCAGGAGATCGAGACCATCCCGGCCAACATGGTGAAACCCCATCTCTACTAAAAATACAAAAAAATTAGCTGGGCGTGGTGGCACATGCCTATAATCCTAGCTACTCGAGAGGCTGAGGCAGGAGAATCACTTGAACCAGGGAGTTGGAGGCTGCAGTGAGCCGAGAATGTGCCACTGCACTCCGGCCTGGATGACAGAGAGAGACTCTGTCTCAAAGAAAAAAAAAGAAAAGATAAAAAACCCAAAAATTATTACTAATTCATTGAATTTTTATGAGTGTGAGTCTTTGAGAAAAAAAGAAAATAATAATCTAGCCGGGTGCATTGGTTCTCACGTATAATCCCAATACTTTGGGAGACAGAGCACAAGGATCACTTGAGCCCAGATGTCTAAGACCAGCTTAGGCAACATAGTGAGACCGCATTTCTACAGAACAACAACAAAAAAAATTGCCAGGCATGATAGTGTTTACCTGTAGTCCCAGCTACCCTAGAGGCTGAGATGGGAAGATGGCTTGAGCCCGGGAGGTCAAGGCTGCAGTGAGCCAGGATCGTGCCACTGCACTTCAACGTGGGTAACAGAACGACACCCTCTCCCAAAAAAAACAATATTCTGAGCCTTTGGAGTATTTTATATACAGCTACTAAGAGCTGCTATGCCTGTCTGGAACCAGTCACTTCTGCCTCCCAACATCATACCCTGGCCCCATACCTGCCATACCTCAACCGTAGTGACTGGAGAAGAGCATAAAAGGAAATTACATGCTAGTTACCTGTGTGTGCTCAGGCACAGCACGGAGTCATCTATGAACACACAAGGGCAGAGGAATTACTAGTGTTGCCTTGGTTTTAGTTGGTAATTGAAGACCCTGTCAATCACATAACTATTTCATTTCTTAACAGGGAAAACAGTTTAGGAAGGAAGTAAGAATTGATAGACATGAGCCGGTATTGGTGGCTCATGACTAATCCCAGCACTTTGGGAGGCCAAAGCAGAAGGATCGCTTGAGCCCAGGAATTTGAGGCCAGCCTGGGTAACAAAATGAGACTCAATCTTTACAAAGAAAATTTCTAAAACAATTAGCTGGATGTGGTGGCATGTGCCTGTGGTCCCATCTACACGGAAGGCTGAGGCAAAAGGATTGCTTGGGCCCAGGAGGTTGATACTGCAGTGAGTCATTTTCATCCCACTGCACTCCAGTGTGAGTGACAAAGCAAGACTCTGTCTCAAAAAAAAAAAATTGATAGACAGTTGACTCACAGAGCTCAAGGTTATAAGGGCTTCCAAAGGCCAACTTGTTTATCTAAGGCAAGAACCCCCTCTGTGGCAGCTGAGACTGTGTCAACTAGCTCGTGTCTGCAGTCTTTCAGTTGAGCCTTGGGTAGGAAAGTTTTTTTAAAGATAATTCTTTTCACAAGGTTTTCTGTCTCATGTTTTATGTGTCTGGGGGACTCCAGGCATGCCACAGGTTGTAACAATGAAAAGTTCTTCCTTTTATTCCCTCCAAATCTGTTCTTGAGCCTTAAAGATCTTTTGCCTCTTTAGTTGGAAATGATGATATACTGGGGTTTGTCCCACAATCAGCTGAGAATTCAATCTTGTATCTGTCGTCCTATTGTGCTGTCCTCTCTGGTCTTGCACTCAGCTGTGTCCTGTAGCTTTGCCACATTTTTGCACAGTTTCCTCTTGCGTTTCATTCAAGTCTTTGCTCAGTGTCACTCACTCGGAGAGGTCTTTCCTCCTAAAGATGCATCCCAGCCTTCTTCCCAATGTCATGCTTTCTCTGTTTATTCTGCTTTTTGTTTTCTCCAGGGCATTTACACTGACTGATATTCTTTATTCATATTCAGTGTTCACAATCTATTTCCCCCACTAGAAGTTTAGTTTCATGAGGGTGGGACCTTTTTTTTGTTCACGTCCCTATTCCTAGTACCTAGAACAGTGCTTGACTCATAGTGGGTGCTCAATAAACATTTAAGTGATTGAATCTTTTCTTGCCTGTGTCATTTTATTTTGAGCCAGTCAACACTGTCTTGCTTTCCATATTGCAATCAGCAAAACTGCTGTGTTAGACTATATGAGTTTGTTGTCTCAACCTTAGAGTTCCATTTTTTTTTTTTTTTTCCTTTTTGAGATGGAGTTTCCCTCTTGTTGCTCAGGCTGGAGTGCAGTGGCGAGATATGGGCTCACTGCCACCTCCACCTCCCGGGTTTAAGCGATTGTCCTGCCTCAGCCTCCCTAGTAGCTGGGACTATAGACAACCACCACTATGCCCAGCTAATTTTTGTATTTTTAGTAAAGTCGGGGTTTTACCATGTTGACCACTCTGGTTTTGAACTCATGACCTCAGATGATCCTCCCACCTCAGCCTCACAGAGTGCTGGGATTACAGGCGTAAGCCACCATGCCTGGTCAGAGTTCCATTTCAAAAGTCTGTCAAGAGGTGGTACAGATGCTAGATCTGCCCATAAATGTGCTGTGCTGTGCTGTAGGAAACTGAGTTCCAGCCAGCAACATAGCACATTTCCCCTCACCCAGCACAGCAGCAGCAGCAGCAGATCAAGGGTCTGCTGGTTTCTTGAGGGAGACGTGGCAGTGCTGCAAGCCAGGAACACCTGGCGTAGGAGAGAGGCAGGATGGGGATTAGAACAACTTCAAAGAACTTCATGAACAAGAATAAGAGAGTCGTTCTTGTCATAGCAACTATTATTTGTGGTGACTGATGAAATTAGACAAGGACTATGTGAAGAGCAAGGCTTTTGAAGAGTGAGAACTCCCAGAGGAATAAAGGTCAAAACTTTTCCAGACTCAGTGCCCACTGCCTTCAGTGCATCCTATAATCTTTTATTGTCTTCTTTCCACGTGCTGGCCCTTGTGCTGGGCCTGGGGATGTAGCAGTGAATCAGATGTAGTCGCTATTCTTAAAGATCTCAGAGTCAGAAAGTGGGAGTGAAGGAGGTGGGTGGTCAGTCAATGGTGAGTTGAGTGTGTTTCAGCAAGGGTCTCCCTGTAATTCTCTCAACTTAAGGCAATATTATTTACAGGACCTTTTCAAAAGAGGCCATCCTTGAAGCAGTCATTCCCAGGTTTTTGGATTTTGCAGATCAGTAGCATTTCAAAAGAATAAGGATTGCCTACATTTTTTATTAAGTGAATACAAGGACTTTTCAAAAAGTTAAACCTATCATCTATTACTTATTATTGCCTTCATTTCATAAAAGAAAAGGCATTTTAATTCTGCAAACAGTAGAAAAGATATAGTCCTAGACTAAAATTAGCTTTATAAAAATTTGTTTCTGAAAAGCTCACTATTATGTTTTATTTTTCTCAGTTCACCATGAACTGGTGAAACCGCATGTTAGACAGCATTAATTCAAGGGCTGGTGTTTAGTAGTCACCACTTTGAGCATCACCTGCAAATGCATGGGTCTTGTGACACTCCATGAGAGCAGCCTCCATGTTGTGTCTTATAGATTGTCACAGACCAGCAGACAGGACAGAAGATCCAGATAGTCACCGCAGTGGACGCCTCTGGATCCCCCAAACAGCAGTTCATCCTGACCAGCCCAGATGGAGCTGGAACTGGGAAGGTGATCCTGGCTTCCCCAGAGACATCCAGTGCCAAGCAACTCATATTCACCACCTCAGACAACCTCGTCCCTGGCAGGATCCAGGTAAGGCCTTTGAACAGGTATTTGTTTCAGCATTTATGCTGTTGAACTTGTTCTTACATCTGCTGTGGAGGCCAAATCTATCCGTGGAAAGTTCTGTGGGGACCTGCAAACATGGCAAATTGCTGCTTTGGCCAGAGTAATAAACCAGCAAACCAGTGGCAAGGCCCAGAAGACAGTGAACTGTAAGACTCAGGATGGAAGTACAACCAGGAAGTTAGTGGCCACAGGAGACTAGCTTGAGAAAGCTGGCACTGAGGCCACTGGAGAATTTTTCTTACCTAAGGCCATCAAGTGGCAGCGCTTGATATTTTAAAGGCACCACCTAGGGCTAACTACAGCCAGCAAAGAACTGACTTGTCCAGATCATCAGGTCTGTGGCGCCAGCTTTTCATTCTGTCTTTATGTGCCACTGTGTCCTAATCGCTCTGGGACCCTGAATTCTTATCTCTATCTCTGCCCTGGTTCTTCCTGCTCTGGCAAAGTAGGATGGGGTTGAGGACGTCTATATCAAGGAAAACAACAAGCGTTGAAGGAAAGCAGGGTTGTTTCTCAGCATGAGGCTGGGAAGCATAGAATCTCCATACCCAACACCTAGAGAACAGAGACTCAAAGTTAGTATCCCATGATGGCCAAACACGGAACATGCTTTGTCAGGGTTGTGTTTAATTTTTTTTTCATTTTTCATAAAATATGCATAACATAAAACTTAACCATCTTAACCAACTTTAGGTGTACAGTTCAGTGACATTAAGTAGATTTACATTGTTGTGCCACTATCCAGCTCTGTAACTCTTTTCATCTTCCTAAGCTGAAACTCTGTACTCATTGAACAGTACCTCTCCCCCTCCTCCAGCCCCTGGTAACCACCATTCTGCTTTCTGCCTTCATGAATTTGATTACTCTGGGTACCTTATATAAGTGAAATCAGCCTTTTTATGACTGGTTTGTTTCACCCAGCATAAAAGTGAAGCTTTATCCATGTTGTAGCATGTGTCAGAATTTCATCCCTTTTAAAGGCTGAGTAATATTCCACTGTATATATAGATCATATTTTTTTGTATCTCTTCATCTGTTGGTGGACATATAAGTTGCTTCCACATTTTGGCTATTGAATTAATTAATGCCACTAAGAATCTCTGTTTTGGGTGGGGATGTTCTACGAAGAAACCTAAGGAAGGGAAGAATTTTTTAATATGTTCAGCTTTTAGATCTGTTCTTTTAGACACCTTAGACTGCACTTAGTAAATACTGTCTCATCCTTCCTTTCCCGGAGTACACTGTGATCATCTGAAATCAGAATTCCTTCCTCCTTCTTTAGAGTACTCCTTGTCTGTGAAAGAATGGCTGTTGATTTTGTTGCATGTTTCACAAGAGGTGATTCTACATAATGGTTTCTGTATGTGTACCTACCATGTATAAATAATTTTAAGGCTTATTGTTGGCTCAAATTCAAGTACATTTTAAAATAATAGCTATTTTCACTTTCTCATACTGATATCAGTTATAATATTCTCCCAGATGAATTGCTTCACCTAAATAATCACCACAAATGAGGGAAAGGAAGATAGCCGGTTTCAAAGCTCATTTGTTCTCATTCAGCTCACCACCACCTGCCTCAATAGGAGTCCTAGTTATTTAATTAATAAAGTTTGGTTATTTCTCTGTCAATACACCTCTTTGCATACATTCAAGTTGTTTTATGGGAAGAATCTTAAATATCTTTATTTTGAAGCACCTGTGTGTAATTCCCCACACGGCCTGCAATGTTGGGTGGCTGTAGTAGCCGGATAGAAGAGTAGATCAGTGGAGACCAGCTCCTGACCCTGGGAAACCACCCACCTGATAATCAGTACGGATGAGTGGCAGAGCCATTCTGGGTGTCAGATTAAGTTGTCATCTGGAGTTTTCCCAGTTCTGTCCAGAGTTCTCCTATTTAGAAACCCAACATTGAGAATTTATAGTTAAACATCACTTTGCTTAGTGATCTGGTTTTTTTGTTTTTTTGTTTTTTGAGACGAGGTCTCACTGTGGCTCAAGCTGGAGTACAGTGGCACAATCTTGGCTCACTACAACCTCTACCTCCCAGGTTCAAGTGGTTCTCCTGCCTCAGCCTCAAATAGCTGGGATTACAGGCGCATGCCACCACACCCAGCTAATTTTGTATTTTTAGTGGAGACAGTGTTTTACCATGTTAGCCAGGCTGGTCTCGAACTCCCAACCTCAGGTGATCCATCCGCCTCAGCCTCCCAAAGTGCTGGGATTACAGGCATGAGCCACCGCACCTGGCAGTGATCTGGTTTTTAATTGGCATCCCTGTTTATTTCCTGGTTTCTCTCAGATTGTCACGGATTCTGCCTCTGTGGAGCGTTTACTGGGGAAGACGGACGTCCAGCGGCCCCAGGTGGTAGAGTACTGTGTGGTCTGTGGTGACAAAGCCTCTGGTATGTAATTCCAGGTTATGATGGCACTTAACATGGGCCAACAGCATGAAGTAACAGTTGTGAGGTGGGGTGGTAGTTAATTTAGAAAGATCATTTTCTGTAGGTTTGTAGGTTTCAAATACGAATTCCACTTTTCCTACTGGGGTAGTGATGTAAATAAATAAGGCAGTTTGTCAGGTAATTAGACATCAAAAGGAAAAGTCAAGAAACAATTTCTATGATTTGTAAATCTTGGTTGAGTGTGTAGTATGTATGTGCTGCTAAAAATGTATTCTTTAATCTCATTAACATTTGTACAGCACTTTGCTATTTTACAAGATATATAATTTGTATAATCCCTGTTCATCCTAACTGTAACTATCTCTGTCATCCCCTCACTATAACCCACTATAAATACTGCTGTAATGAAGCAGGAGGAGGCATGTGATTCCAGCTAGAATCCCAGGATCAGGAAAGGCCCCACAGAGGCAGTCACATCTGGGAGACTTAGTGATTATGTACACAGTGATTGAAGCAGGAGGAGGGCATTTCAGCTAGTAGAAACAGGGCCTAGAGTTTAAGGTCTATACCCATGGTGTCCTTGGGAGAGAGCTTGTAGGGTTCTGTGATTACAATTGGGTAAAGTGAGACTGAAGAAGATACCTGGCCCAAAAATTCAAGTGTTGGTCTGCTTGTACTAGGTGGGGATCCATAGAAGGTTAGTGAGGCAGACAGGAAGGAATGGAGAAGTATTTGATAAGAACACAGTACCAGGGCACAGGTGTGTGTTCTAAGATGGCTGCTTGGTTCCACTTTATTCTCTGGTCACAAAATTCACAGGAACGTTGGACACTTCGTAGTCCTAGTTTTTTGTTTGTTTCTGTTTTGTTTTTTAAAAAGGAGGTTAGACCAAGCCTCTTAGTAAGACAGTCCCAGGCAAGCATCTATAGAAGATCAGAAGCTTCAATTTCCCTTCTGTGGTGGTGACACCATTTCTCTGCCAGTGGTGCCTGCCTCTGCTCCCACCCTTTGTCTTGGTAAACCCAGCCCATCCTACCCCTTCTCTGAAGCCCTCACCTACCCCAGTAGGTAGATAGACAGTGCAGCCACTGATTCAGATTTCCCCTTCCTAGAGATTTCTCTAATCGCTTGTTGCATACTCCTATAATTCACTCTTTAGAGGCCTGTCTTCCCCATCAGAATGTCAGAGCAAAAATCATGTCTTACCATGTATTCCTGTCTTCTTGCTCAGCAAGGAAAGGCACTCTGCAAAGTTTTGAACAAATAAATGAAGCATGAATATAACAAAAGGGCCACAGAATCTGCTTGACTTCCCCATTTGTCAGTCTTCTTCTTAGCTTAAAGGAAAGGCCTAGTCACAGGGTCTTGGTGCCAGTCTCCTGATATTAATGTCACTCAAAGGGATAGAGAACTCAAGGAAATACACTGCAAAGAAAGGAAAAACAATATTACAGAAGGCACTTTACCACAACTATTCTTAAAAGAATAGGACTGTTATTCCAATTGCACACTTGGAAAATGGTTTTGCACACTTGGAAAATGGTTTTGCATACTAGAGCTTAGAACAATGGGATTCTCTGTAGCCACCATAAATGGTAATCCTATGAAATGTATCCTTCTTGGCAATGTAGCTATGAAATTGGATTATACAAACAAGACAGAATCAAAAGAGCATGTCCGTGGTCAGTCTCAGCTGGAAACAAATGAGGAATAATGTATGTGAAAGTGCTTTCTGAATAGCAAAACTAAACTGAAGGAGGGGGCACTTTTTTTGTTGTTTGTTTGAGACAAGAGTCTCACTCTGTCACCCAGGCTGGAGTGCAATGACACAATCTCAACTTACTGCAGCCTTCACCTCCTGGGTTCAAGTGATTCTCCTGCCTTAGCCTCTGGAGTAGCTAGGACTACAGGCGCTCACCACCATGCCTGGCTAATTTTTGTAGTTTTAGTAGAGACAGGGTTTCACCATATTGGCCAGGCTGGTCTCAAACTCCTGACCTTGTGATCTGCCTACCTCGGCCTCCCAGAGTGCTGGGATTATAGGCATGAACCACTGCACCCAGCTGGGGGTACTTTCTAATGTCTGTGATAGTTAAAAGTTGGAGATACCATGCAGACTGTACACATGACAAGGGGTTAATATCCAGAATATATAAGGAACTTAACAGCAAAAACAAACAAAAAAAAACAATTTTAAAATGGGCAAAATATCTTAATAGACATTTCTCAAAAGAAGACATAGAAATGGTCAACTGTTATATGAAAAAATGCTCAACATCACTAATCCTCAAGGAAATGCAAATTGGAGTGAGGTACCACCTCACTCCAGTTAGGATATCTATAATCAGGCTGGGCTCGGTGGCTCATGCCTATAATCCCAGAACTTTGGCAGGCTGAGGCGGGCAGATCACATGAGGCCAGGAGTTTGAGACCAGCCTGGACAATGTGGCAAAACCCCGTCTCTACTAATTTTTGTATTTTTATAAGATAATATCTTTTGGCAGGGTGCAGTGGCTCACGTCTGTAATCCCAGCACTTTGGGAGGCTGAGGCAGGCAATCACCTGAGGTCAGGAGTTTGACACCAGTCTAGCCAACATCTCTACTAAAAATATGAAAATTAGCTGAGTATAGTGGCGGGTGCCTGTAGTGGCAGGAGAATCACTTGAACCCGGGAGGCGGAGGTTGCAGTGAGCTGAGATTGCACCACTGCACTCCAGCCTGGGCGACAAGAGCAAGACTCTGTCTTAAAAAATAAAATAAATTTTTAAAAAGATATATATATATGTTATCAGATTTTATATTTTATAAAATCTTATAAAAATTTCATGTAGAGAAATTATGTGAAGGGTGTGGCCAGTATAAGAAAGAAAGTATAAGATTTTATTTGATAAAATCATATAAAAATACAAAAATTAGCTGAGTGTGGTGGCGCACATCTATAATCCCAGCTACTCAGGACGCTGAGGCACGACAGTCACTTGAACCCAGGAGGTAGAGGTTGCAGCAAGCCGAGATCACGTCACTGCAGTCCAGTCTGAGTGACTGAGACTCTTGTCTCAAAATAAAAAAAGAAAAAATGTTTACAATTAAAAAGACAAATGAAAAGAAGTGCTAGGGAGGATGTGGAGAAAGGGGAACACTTAAACATTGTCGGTGGGATTGTAAATTAGTACAGCCACTATAGAAAACTGTATGGAGGTTCTTCAAAAATTAAAAATAGAACTACCATATGATCCAGAAATTCACTACTGGATCTATATCCAAAGGAAATAAAATCATTATGTTGAAAAAATACCTGCACTCCCACATTTATTGAATCACTATTTACAATGGCCGAGATGTGTAATCAGCCTAAGTATCCAACAGCAGATGAATGGATAAAGAACATGTGGTATGTATACACAGTGGAATACATAAAATTGAATGAAATCCGGCTATTTCTGGCAACATGGATGAACGTGGAGGAGGACATCATGTTAAGTGAAATAAGCCAGACAAAGACAGATACTACATGATCTCATTCATATGTGGAATCCTTTTAAAAAAAAAAAAAAAAAAAGAAATTAATACCATAGGAACAGCGTAGAACAATGGTTACCAAGACTGGGGAGGGGAAAAGTGAGAGATGGTTGGGAAAGACTGACCAGCTGCTACAAACTTACAGTTAAGTAGTAGGAACAAGTTCTGGTGTTCCATTGCACTGTAGCCATGGCTAACAATAAGGTATTATGTATCATAAAATACCTAGAAGAAAGGCTTTTGAATGTCCTTACTGCAAAGAAATGATAAATGCATAAGGTGATGGTCACTCTACCTGATTTGATCATTATACAACATGTGGATGTATTGAAACATTGAATTATACCTCATAAATATGAACAATTACAGTGTATCAAAAATAAAAAATTACAGACACCAAAGTAAACAAGATTAGAAAAATGAACTGTGTTTAATAAATGTATTCCTAGAACTGTATTTCTAGAAAGCTCTGAGTAAGCTAGCCCAGGTGAGCCATACGGTAACCCTCCTTTACTGTGGGCTTCAGCAGTCACAGTCCCCATGCTTTTTCTTGTGCCTATCCCGCTTCCCTGCAGGAGGTTTAGGAACCAGGATGTGAATCAGAGGGGCTAAATGCAGGAGTGAGACCCTCTGTACCAAAGCCACACATGCATATGTCTGCTATGTGCCACTCTTGGCAGGACAGGAGACCTAAGCCGCTTCACAAGCCCAGACCTCCAGGATTAGGACCCAGGTGTGTTCAAGTGGACAGTAGAGTTCAGCTATCACCTGTGAGCTCCTACTGTATGTTGGACCATTTATATAATAAGAGCACTAAAGTCATGCCATCTGCCAGATGCCATACAACCTGTCTGAGCTTCAGTATTTCCATCATAAACTCACAAGGCTACTTGAAAGATTGTAGAGAAATTATGTGAAGGGTGTGGCCAGTATGCTCAGGTCACATAGCACCTAACAGTATATGCACCCATCACTTTCATAAGACTTGTTCAGGAAGTGTGGCAGATCACCCCTTTGGTGAATGCACAAATATAGTGACAAAATATTTGTGTCTTTCTCCTGTTTCAGGCCGTCACTATGGGGCTGTCAGCTGTGAAGGTTGCAAAGGTTTCTTCAAAAGGAGTGTGAGGAAAAATCTGACCTACAGCTGCCGGAGCAACCAAGACTGCATCATCAATAAACATCATCGGAACCGCTGTCAGTTTTGCCGGCTGAAAAAATGCTTAGAGATGGGCATGAAAATGGAATGTGAGTAACAGTATTTAAAAACCACATGAGTTAACAACGGAGGGAGAGAGTAAACAAGAGTCCATTAAATACAGTTTCTATATCTGGCTTTAAGGTACTTTGAGAAAAAAATACCCGTCAGACTTTATTTTGGTTTACCTCGTGGGTCAACTAGGTGATTCAGAGCCAACGCTGTGGGGGTTGGTCTGTTCTCCTGGTGTGTGTGTGGAAAGCCTTATTCCAGATGCATCAGGAGTCAGCTTAGTGGAGTAGGGTGAACACAGGCTTTGGAGGAAAGCTGATACCAACACTACCAGGTCTGCCAATAAGAGACAGCTATGAATTTGAGGACACACATAGCCTCTCAGCCACAGGGTCCTCATCTGTGATCTAGAGCCCCTCACCTTACTTATATATTGCTCCTGAGGATTACATGAGCCTACTGTTACTTACTATCTTCTAAGCCCCTCTATGTTCTTTCAGCACAAGGCCTTCTGCCAAGTCTCTGTGTAGCTGGGGTTCTAAAGAGAAGGCTATTGCATCTGGATGTGTGGGGCAACCAGGGAAGGTCTCGGGCCCCTCCATTCCATTCCTGTAGCCAGAATTTTGGGGGTTAGGAATTTCAAAACCAGATCCCTGTCTACAGGGTCCATTCAGATGGGGGTCACTTCCCTAGCTAGTGGTGAAAATATGAAGACTCCCAGGTTCAAGCAGTTCTTCCTGCCTCAGCCTCCCGAGTAGCTGGAATTACAGGTACCCACCACCACACCTGGCTAAGTTTTCTATTTTTAGTAGAGACAGAGTTTTGCCATGTTTGCCAGGCTGGTCTCAAACTCCTAGCCTCAAGTGATCCACCCGGCGCAGCCTCTCAAAATGCTAGGATTACAGCATGAGCCACCGTGCCCAGCCCAAAGACGGGCATTTCTTAATCCTTGGAAGGGTCTATTTTGTTACGAGCATCCAAGATGGGCAGCACATAGAAATCCAAGGAGAGTGGAGTTAGGCTCAAACCACAGCAGGAAAATGGAGCTTAGCAAAGGCAAGGCATGCAACTTAGCCTGGCAAGGCTGGTGGCCATGGACTCAGAACTACAGGCTTCTGCTGAGTATGCTGCATGATTCTGTCATCTTCTGCATAGTTCCCTAGGAACACTGAAAACTGACAGATTTCAGTATTGGTGAGGGCATTTCTGGGAATAGGAATCTGCAGAATTCACTGGAGAATAAATGGAAATGTACTTTTTGAAAAATTAGAAATATCAACCTAATTTCTGCCTGGTGTGATGCTTTTACTTTATCTAGTGATATTGTTCTTCCCCTAAAGTGAATAAATAAATCATTGGCTTTTTTTACTCAGAGCAATGACTGAAATCAGTTTTTTTGTGATCACAGCTATAGCTGCAAACACAAGATCCAACTAGATAGCAGTTTGATTAGCAGCATATCTAAATGCTATTCCCTGGCCTTCGTTGCTTCTGTCTTTAAAAAGCTTTCATTTTCTTCAGTTGCTTCTAAGATACGTAGATCTGCTCTTATACTAGATTGCTAAAAGGAGAGTTTGCTAGCATGATATAAAATTGACACCCATTAAACAGTTTGCAGAAGCTATTCAGACTTGAGTTGGAAATTAGAAGGGTTCCTCTACAAATTGTGCCATAGGAAAAGCACACATTAAGGGCCCACTTGAAGATGGGCATTTTTTTTTTTTTTTTGAGATGGAGTCTCGCTCCGTCACCCAGGCTGGAATGCAGTGGTGCCATAGTCTTGGCTTACTGCAGCCTACACCTCCCAGGTTCAAGCAGTTCTTCCTGCCTCAGCCTCCCGAGTAGCTGGAATTACAGGTACCCACCACCACACCTGGCTAAGTTTTCTATTTTTAGTAGAGACAGAGTTTTGCCATGTTTGCCAGGCTGGTCTCAAACTCCTAGCCTCAAGTGATCCACCCGGCGCAGCCTCTCAAAATGCTAGGATTACAGCATGAGCCACCGTGCCCAGCCCAAAGACGGGCATTTCTTAATCCTTGGAAGGGTCTATTTTGTTACAAGCATGAAGTAAAAACAAGCTGGGCACTTTGGCTTATGCCTTAATTTCAGCACTTAGGCTGGGGCCAGTGGATTGCTAGAGCCCAGGAGTTTGAGTCCAGACTGGACAACGTAATGAGGCTTCATCTCTACAAAAATAAAAAGTAACTAAATAACATAAAATTAATAAAATGGCCCAGAGGCCTCATGGGTACTTCCACAGGCCACATAGGTGCTGTGCTGTAGTTTCTTAGCAGGGAGTACCACCCATCATGAGCTCTTTCTTATGCCTCTAGATTTGACATGGCATGGTTTGGCTTGATTCCTTTTCTCTGTCTGAAAAGTTCACTTTGAAGGCTGAGCTAGATGAATCTAGCACCAAAGCTTATCCTCCCTGCAGTAACGGATTTACTATAAAGAAAACCCCTTGCTTTACCAGGAGGGATGTGGTTTTTATTGATTTGAATTGTTTCTCTAAACACAAATATTTATGTTGTGATTTAAGCTGTACAGAGTGAACGGAAGCCCTTCGATGTGCAACGGGAGAAACCAAGCAATTGTGCTGCTTCAACTGAGAAAATCTATATCCGGAAGGACCTGAGAAGTCCCCTGATAGCCACTCCCACGTTTGTGGCAGACAAAGATGGAGCAAGGTCAGTCCCTTGTTCTCAGCTGCAGTCATCCTTTGCAGTTGATGGAGGAGGCACAGACATGCCCCAGAATGGTCACTGATGTTGCTTCCCACCCACATGCCACAGCCTCCAGCCTTGTGTTGCTTAATCTTGCCCCTTCTGGAGCTGCTCAGTCACCAGTCACACCTCTGGACAGGCCTGAGGATGTCTGATTTACGATGGAATCAGAACTTCGCCAAGCCTTGAATTCAGATTATGTCCTGTAATTTAGGCATCATTCATTCAGGAAGACAATTATTTTATAATTCAAGATTGGGGTTTTTCTGCAGTACAGACAAAAGGCCTAAGGTGAGATAAGGTCTCAGTGCTACAGTTAATTTGTACATTCTTTTCAAAGTAATCTATTGAACTTACTTTAAAAGGTACAGAAAGAGGGGAAAACAAGAAATCCAAAATGTATCAGAGAGTTGAGGATGCCTTGCTGATTTTCTGAAAATCAAGTTAACTTTTTTCTTGGCAGAATGGCCACAGTTTGCAGTCATCCTGGAAAGCCCTGGGGGATGCATCTGCATTTCATCCTGTCTCAAGCTGTAAACCTGACTTTATGTACATCTCATTGAAGACAGGTGGGGGGATTGTTTAGTCACTAAGCGACTGAGTCTAGTTAGAGCTTTTCTACTATTCAGGCAGCTCCACAAATGTGGAGGGACAGGTAAATGCAGAATGATCATACTGTGCATAAAATGTTGGAAGCTACTCTGGGTTTCTTTATGTCTTAAATAGACAAACAGGTCTTCTTGATCCAGGGATGCTTGTGAACATCCAGCAGCCTTTGATACGTGAGGATGGTACAGTTCTCCTGGCCACGGATTCTAAGGTGACGTTCTCTACTCATGCTTCTTTCTCTCTTTTCCTTTATGCTGACATTATAGGCTGCTGCCCTAACTATGTGTACCACCTTCTTTCTGGCCTTCAGAGACCACATCAAAAGTGTGACCTGCATCACAGTCTCCTTCTTGTTGTGATAGCTATATTGGGATTTGTTTTAGAGATGCCAGTGGCTTTTCAGAAACCTCAGTCAGGGCTGGCTGGTCATAGTGACTGTAACATGTCAGTCTAGACGTCAATTTAGTGGACATTCTGTGGTTCTCTTTTCTATTATAGTTTTCTTTTTCTCATATACACATTGGCAAACTACTGGCATACCAAGCCAAGAGCTACTTATTCTAAGATGGCCTTTTTGCAAAAGCCCCGGGTTCCTTTTTATTAGATGATCTTCAGGAGCAAGTTCAGCCAGGAATCTGACAATTTCAAATCAGTCATAGGGATTTAACTTGTGAACAGAGATGTTTGTCAGTCCAAAAGGGAGAGACTGGCTGGCTCCTGTGAAGATAACCAAGAAGAATTTTCACAGAACTCATTGTTTTTCTCATTGTGGTACTCCCAATGTAAACCAAGTAAGGAAGTAGTAGCAGCAAACCTCAACTCTAAAGACGGGGACTTAGTAATTGAGAACACTGGCATTGCTGTGACCGTTAGAACCAGAGCAAAGCCTGCAGGCTTCCTTCTCATCTGTTCACAATCTCATGTATGGGTGCACTCGGGGCATTACAGGGCATCCTCTTTTGGGAAAGAGAAGACAAAATTTAGAGCCCTTGCCTGTCATGGAGAGCCGCCCTGCATGCTTTGGTCCTCAGGATGGGCTTTGCACCTCCTGTTATGGGCAGGGGCCACATGCATCATGGGAGCTGATGGATTACGTGGGTTTAAGTTATCACCAGCACTCGTTCTGGAACAGTGGCTCTGACTGTATAGTCAAATGCAAAGAAAGCGTAAGCCTGAAAATAAGGCCCACATAACCTTAAAAACAGATTACCAAGTGATTGACAGCAGCCATTCTGTTGGACCATCCACACAGAGACTGGGAATGAGAACCAAGACTGCAGAGCTGGCTAGACCTGGAGTCTCAGAGTCTGGCACTGTTCTTGGTACCCAGGTGGTTCTTTCCTGCACTTACAAATCTCTCGGTACACAGTGAGCATTCAATAAACGTTAACGGTTAGGAATTAGTTATTGTCACTTTGGAGGAGAATGAACGCAAACCTGTATGGCATTTCAGGAATCAAGAGAGAGCTTCAGAGGCAGACTTGTGTCCTACCCCATTCCTTCCTGCGTACAATGGAAACAACAGTAACCCCCAAAGAATTTTGATACAACTAATAAAACATATGCAAAGCACCTGAAGGAAGCTACTTTCAGAAATTGTTTTCCAATTTTTCTTTGAAATATTTATATATTTAAAATAATTTACAATGAAGGAAGTACAGTGCTGTTACAGAGCTCCCACTTTGCCTTCACCCGGGTCCTCCCAGTGGTTATGTCATACATACATACCTAGGATACAGTATCACAACCAGGACATTGGCTTTGGTACAAACCATATGTATTGTTTTATGTCTTTTTTATATTTCATTCTTGTTCAACTTCATTTCCTTCAACATACCTTTCTATTATGAGGATCTTACAGCAGTTGCACAATATTCTGTGTCTCTGTTGTGATTTATTAATCATTTGTTTATGACCTTTTCTACTGATCCTAGGTTTTCACTTTTATAATCAAGACACAACCTTGTGTATACATTATCTTGGTTTAAGTGTATCTCGGGCTTTGTTTTCTAAGACAGTGTCTTGCTCTGTTGCCCAAGCTGGAGTACAATGGTATGATTTTGGCTCATGGCAACCTCCACCTCCCAGGGTCAAGTGATCCTCTCACCCTTAGCCTCCTGAGTAGCTGGGACTATAGGTGCACACCACCACGCCTGGCTAATTTTTTGTATTTCTTTGTAGAGACGGGGTTTCGCCATGTTGCCCAGTCTAGTCTTGAACTCCTGGACTCAAGCAATTCACCCATCTCAGCCTCCCAAAGTGCTGGGATTACAGGCATAAGCCATTGCCCCTGGCTTTCTTTTTTAATTGAAATATAACTCACATACCATAATACTTACGCTTTTAATGTCTAATTTAGTGGTTTTTAGTCTACTTACAAGGTTGTACAACCATCCCCACTACATAATTTTAGAATATTTTCATCACCTCAAAAGAAACCCTGAACCCCTACTATGTAGTCACCCCTCCTTCCCCACTCTTCTCAAACCTGCCAACCACTAATCTGCTTTCTGGCTTGATGGTTTTGTCAACTCTGTACATTTTGTATAAAGGAAGTCATACAATATATGGTCTTTTGTGACTGGCTTTTCACTCAGCATAATGTTTTTAAGGGTCACCATGGTGTAGCATGTATCAGTACTTAATTCCTTTTTATTGCCAAATAATACATCTTTTTTTAAGGCAGAGTTTTGCTCGTTTCCCTGGCTGGAGTGCAGTGGTACGACCTCGGCTCATTGCAACCTCCACCTCCCAGGTTCAAACGATTCTCCTGCCTCAGACTTTCGAGTAGCTGGGATTACAGGCATGTGCCACCACGCCCAGCTAATTTTGTGTGTATTGTTTAGTGACAGAGTCTTGCTCTGTCGCCCAGGCTGGAATGTAATAGCACAATCTCAGCTCACTGCAACCTCCGCCTCCCAGGTTCAAGCGAGTCTTCTGCCTCAGCCTTCTGAGTAGCTGAGATCACAGGCGTGTGCCACCACCCCTGGCTAAGTTTTGTATTTTTAGTAGAGACAGGGTTTCACCATGTTGATCAGCCTGGTCTCAAACTCCGGACCTCATGATCCACCCGCCTTGGCCTCCCAAAGTACTAGGATTACAGGCGTGACCCACCACAGCCAGCCAATTTTGTGTTTTTGGTAGAGACAAGGTTTCACCATGTTGGTTAGGCTGGGCTCAAACTCCTGACCTCAGGTGATCCTACCCACCTGGCCTCCCAAACTGCTGGGATTACAGGCGTGAGCCACTGGGCCCAGCCTAATAATATACCTTTGTATGACTATACCACATTGTATTTATCCATTAGTCAATTGATGGACATTTGTGTTGTACTACTTTACATTCTCACCAACTGTGTATGAAGGTTCTGATTTCTCCACATCCTTGCCAACACTTGTTATTGTCCATCTTTTTGATTATAGCCATCCCAGTGGATGTGAAGTGGTATGTCATTGTGATTTTCATTTGCATTTCTCACGATGTTGAGCATCGCTTCATATGCTTATGGCCTGTTTATATATCTTCTTTGGAGAGATGCCTGTTATCTTTGGGTTTTTGTTGTTGCTTTGTTTTGTTTTTGAGACAGGGTCTCTGCCTGCATGCTAAGCTGGAGTGCAGTGGCACAGTCATGGCTCAGTGCAGCCTTGACTTTCTGAGTTCAAGTGACCATTCCACTTCAGCTTCCTCAACTGGGACCATAGGCATGCACAACCATGCCTGGCTAATTTTTTTTTACTTTTTGTAGAGACAGGGCCTTGCCATGTTGCTCAGGCTGGTCTCAAACTCTTGGGCTCAAGTGATCTTCTGCTTCAGCCTCCTAAAGTGCTTTTCCCCCTCTCCTGTTTTTATTTTTTTATTTTTTCAATTTTTTAAAATTAGAAATGGAATCTCTGTTGCCCAGGCTAGAGTGTGGTGGTACGATCTTGTCTCACTGCAACCTTCGCCTCCTGAATTCAAGTGATTCTCCTTTCGCAGCCTCCCAAGTACCTGGGGTTACAGGCACCCACCACCATGCTGTGCTAATATTTGTATTTTTAGTAGAGACAGGGTTTCACCGTGTTCACCAGGCTGGTCTTGAACTCTTGACCTCAGGTGATCACCTGCCTCGGCCTCCCGGAGTGCTGGGATTACAGCGGTGAGCCACTGTGCCCAGCCTCGTTTTCCATTTTTAAATTGGGTTATTTGTCTTTTTATTATTGTTAGAGTTCCTTAGAAATTCTGGCTACTAAACCATGAGACATATGATTTGCAAATATTTTCTCTCATTCTGTGAGTTGTCCTTTTGTTTTGTTTTGTTTGGGTTGTCTTTTACTTTCTTGACAATTTCTTTTGAAGCACAACAGGTTTAATTTTAGTGAAGTTTAGTTTGTCTGTTTTTCTTCTGTCATTTTGTCACATATATAGATTTGTGTAAATACCACCACACCAAGATACAGAACTGTTACATCACCAAAAAGATCTTCCTCGTGTTGCCCCTTTGTAGTCACACTCCCCTCGAAGCTGTTTTTGAACCAACATTATAACTTCATTGGCCTGAGAGTAATTTGCATATGTGTGTTCATTTTTAATGTTAGTATTTTATTTTTTGTTTAATAGGCTGAAACAAGCCAGGGAGCTCTGGGCACACTGGCAAATGTAGTGACCTCCCTTGCCAACCTAAGTGAATCCTTGAACAACGGTGACACTTCAGAAATCCAACCAGAGGACCAGTCTGCAAGTGAGATTACTCGGTATGAGCCTATGAGGGTGGAGGCCCCGCTCCTGGCCTGCACACCCTTCCTATATTATGAGAGTGGAAAACAGCATTTTGCTACCTATGCTGTATTTAACCGAGGATGAAAAAATCATTACAGTGACCCTCTACATCTGTCTTCTTTCAGATTTTAACTATGGGAACATAGACCCACTTAATGTTATACAGTATAAAACAGTCCAAACCATGGAAAAGGAAATTGAGTAAATCAGTAGAAGTATGGAGATAACTGTTTAAGTGGACAGCGGTTATTTACATTAATGACTGTTTAATAATGCATTTGCATATTAAGAGTTCATTCTCTTTCCTACTTTTAACCTATTTTTCTCATCTATATTTTTTCTTTTTCCTTTTTTTTTTTTTTTTTTTTTCCTAAACAGAGATGGGATCTTGCCATGTTGCCCATGCTGGTCTAGAACTCTTGCCATGTTGCCCATGCTGGTCTAGAACTCCTGGGCTCAAGTGATCTTCCCACCTCAACCTCACAAAGTGCTGGGATTATAGGCATGTGCCACCACGCCCAGCCCTCATATATATTTGTTTCTCAGTAGTGAAGTCAGAGCTTAAATCTACCAGGGTAACTGGATTTGATAGTGGCTGATAAATAGCATGAGCCGGTGCCAGATATTGATAACTGCTGGTAAGGATGTTTCTTCTCTGCAGTTTGGCTCTTGTGCTCTGCTCCTAACATGCCAGACCCGCCACATACAGAGCTGGAGACTAATAAGTGCTCCAGTCCTTTGTTCACTGTGGTCTGATAACAAATAAGATCTAGGTCCAGTGGAAAGAGGGTAGGATTTGAATTAGGTAGAATTCTGGTTCTGCCACTTACTATATGGATGGTCTTGGAAAAGGTGTTCAACAACTTAAGGTCAACATTAACATCTGTAAAATGGAAGATAATTTTTACTTTTGGAGGGTACTTGTGAAAAATAGAAATTAGGCCTGGGTGCAGTGGCTTATGGCTATAATTCCAGCACTTAGAGAAGCTGAGGCAAGAGGATTGCTTGATCCCAGGAGTTTGAGACCAGCCTGGGTCAATGTAGTGAGACCCCATCTTTGAAGAAGTAAGTAATAAATAAATAAATATAAATTTGCCCATGAAGTTAGGTAATATATAGCTCAGTACCTAAGGTGATGTGTAGATAATATATTGAGCTTTCATTGTTTGCCGGGCACAATGGCTTACTTGTGTAATTCCAGCACTTTGGGAGGCAAGGGGCGTGGATCACTTGAGGTCAAAAGTTCTAGATCAGCCTGGCCAACATAGTGAAACCCTATCTCTACTAAAAATGCAAAAAATTAGCCAAATGCCAGGGCTTACACCTATAATCCAGCTCTTTGGGAAGCCAAGGCAGGTGGATCACCTGTGGTCAAGAGTTTGAGACCTGCCTGGCCAACATAGTGACATCCCGTCTCTACTAAAAATACAAAAAAAAATTAGCCAGGCGTGGTGGCATGTGCCTATAGTCCCAGCTACTTGAGAGGCTAAGGCAGGAGAATCGCTTAAACCCGGAATGTGGAAGTTGCAGTGAGCCAAGATCCCATCACTGCACTCCAGCCCGGGTGACAGAACAAGACTTAGTCTCTTAAAAAATGAAAAAAAATTAGCTGGGTGTGGTTGCATGTGCCTGTAGTCCCAGGTACTCAGGAGGCTGAGGCATGAGAATTGCTTGAAGCCAGGAGGTGGAGCCTGCAGTAAGCTGAGATCCTGCTACTGCACTCCAGCCTCTCTGCTATCTCTAAATAAATAAATAGGAAGATTTCATTGTTAGTGTTTCCCTCACCAGGTAGAATTTAATTATCTTTTCCCATTGTAGTTTTTCTAAATCATATGTTAGCTAGAATTCTGTTCCCCCTAAAAGCTGTAGATTTCACCACACTTCCATGCTTCATTTTTGCTCACAGGGCATTTGATACCTTAGCTAAAGCACTTAATACTACAGACAGCTCCTCTTCTCCAAGCCTGGCAGATGGGATAGATACCAGTGGAGGAGGGAGCATTCATGTCATCAGCAGAGACCAGTCGACACCCATCATTGAGGTTGAAGGCCCTCTCCTTTCAGACACACACGTCACATTTAAGGTGAGTGGATTTAGCCTAAACATGTGCCCCCAACCTGCTGGGGGAGAGGTTCTGTACCAAAGCTGGTCTGCAGTTTTAAAAATCACACCTTGGACGCCGGGCATGCTGGCTCACGCGTATAATCCCAGGACTTTGGGAGGTGGAGGTGGGTAGATCACGTGGTCAAGAGATCGAGACCATCCTGGCCAACATGGTGAAACCCTGTCTCTACTAAAAATATAAAAATTATCTGGGCATGGTGGCGCATGCCTGTAGTGCCAGCCACTCAGGAGGCTGAAGCAGGAGAATCGCTTGAACCCAGGAGGCATAGGTTGCAGTGAGCCAAGATCGCACCCCTTTACCACCCCAGCCTGGGCAACAGAGCAAGACTTCATCTCAAAAAAAAAAAAAAAAAAAAAAAA